TAGAGGCTTCATAGACAGACAGTCAGTCAGTTAGTTTTGAGTCTCTCATCTATATATATATGTAAATATTCTATTTTGAGATTCGAGTTGCCTTTATGGCCATATTTTATAAGTTAAGTTGTTTTGTAATATTGCATTGCATTGAGTTATTCTGTTGAGGTTTCCGCTGAGTTAAGAAAGCCAGGCCAAGGGTTCGCTTGGGGCCAGAAATGGTCTCCGGGTGCCGGTCCCGCCCAGGGTGTAGGCTCGGGGCGTGACAATCGTTTAGGGGCAGACTCGTTTTTGGTCAGTCGTGACCCTGACCAAATGCAGGTCGATCAATCAATCAACTCTGTTTCAATTTCAAATTTATAACATAGGTGTGACTTACGAATAATACTAATTTTCGTTTGTATATTAAATACGAGCAGGGTGCAGCGGGGTCACTAGATGGCATCATCAATACTGTATCCGCGATTCACCCTCTTCTTCCATTGATTAATTTGTTGAAAACTCATGGGAAGCTAGTGATGGTTGGTGCCCCTAAAAAACCACTAGAGTTGCCTGTATTTCCCCTGCTTTTAGGTACGTTTGGTTATAAATCGACGATTTGTATATACATTTTTTAATATTTGATACGTATGTTTAATATAATGTGTGTAATAGGAAGGAAGCTAGTGGCGGGGAGCGCGATAGGAGGGATGAAGGAGACGCAAGAGACGGTAGATTCCGCGGCAAAGCATAACATAACGCCAGATGTTGAAGTTGTGCCAATGGACTACGTGAATACAACATTGGAACGCCTTTTGAAATCGGACGTGAAGTATCGTTTTGTGCTTGGCATTGGCAACACATTGAACAAGAGTTGAGATGAGGGGGACATTTTGGTCAAGAAAATGAGTGTGCTATAGGGTTATGATTTTGTATTAAGCTTGTACGTTTTGTTGTTTAGTTTATTTCTTATGTTTTGTGTATCAAAAGGAATAAGGAGTTAAGAGAATAAATATGATATTGTGTTTTCTAGTATACTTATTTGCATATGGCGTTTACATCAAACTATACTGATTTATCATGATTAAGTCATAGCACGAGTACGATTAAATTTTTGCCTCTAAATTAACAAGTATAGTTTTGTCGTAGCACATATCGACTTTCTTAATGTATGCGTATAACTATCCTTTAGTGGGCAGAGCAAAATGCAATAAACAATATCTATAATGCCAATGGATTTTTTTTAATAGGAATAAGAAATATCAAATTGTTAAGTTTGGCTAAATTATGGTAAATACTTAGCCGCACTATGTTTTTATAGCAAATCAATAAATTATTTTAACTTTAATTTATTCAAAAAAACAAGATAAAAATACATATTACTTAGATAATTATGTGGTAAATTTGTGTAGTGCCTGACAAATCAATGAGTAAAAGTTAAGCGTTTATTATATACCAAATTAATCTTTAATCATGATTACGTAATATATGTTCTCACTTCAATTTTTAATTGCTAAAGTTAATTAATTTGATTTGATGTAAATAATAATGCAGACAAAGATTTTCTTATAAAAAAAGAAATTTGCGTAAATAATGTACATTTTAAATACCAAACATGAGTGTGGTAAAACCCCCAACGATAAAAACTTATTTGTATATAATTTTTAAAATTATACCTTCCAAATAAAAAGACGAAAAAAGAAAACAAAAAGCAGAGGGAAAAAGGAAAACAACTCGATAAAAATGTAGTGGGAATAAGTCGGAAACTGCAATTATTAATTGGTCCAAATTTCACACTTTGATGTTTTTATTTTCTTTTAATTATACTTTCACATTATCTACGTGGATATTCTTTAGCCACTAATATTAACTTTAAGTTTTTCACGTTTGGAAAGCTTTCCAAGAGCCTTTTTTTTGGGGCAATTTAAGGAAAAAAATAATTAACTTACATATTGTGTTTAAGTTATCGCACTATTTTGTAATTGTCATTGTTTTTATATCAGTTGCTTTGTTTACACAACCTTTCCGACCCTCCCAACTCCCTTCATTCAATGCTTGACAACTTTTTCCATGTAGCGTACACACGTCTATTTTTGACATCCAGATAAAAGACAACGGTTGCATAGCAAGGGGTGAGGTAGTGCTTGTCATGGGAAGAGAGCTCTCACCTTAACGGAAGAATTGTCGTTTTCCTTTTTTCATACCTACTGATATATAGCTTTTGAGTCAATGATCCTTCAAAAACAATCTCTCTACCTCTACATGGAAATTAAGATTAAGCTGATTTGTATACACTCCATTTTTCGACTTTCGTGGACCTCATTATAAGATTTCACTAAATACATTATAATATTAAAAAGAAGAATATTTTTAAAACTCGTAAACTTCAAACTCTAGATAGATTCAGAATAAAAAAAAGTGTGAAACCTTTTTTTAAAAGTCCTGCAAAGTAGGACTCTACACCTATCGACCACAAAAAAGAAGTCAAAATCCAATTTGTTAAGTAAGTCATTAGTTGTTACACCTCATCGATAACGTCACAAATTTTTCACTCAAAATCCTATAAATATGGATCATAACATAATCAATTTTGTATCATCCATATTGTTCTACATTTTTCTCTATTATAATTTATACACTACATAAATATTTTAATTTTTCAAACCAAAAAAATGGCAAAATCATTTGAAAATGAACATCCAATTAAGGCATTTGGATGGGAAACTAGAGACACTTCTGGAGTTCTTTCTCCTTTCAATTTTTCAAGAAGGTACAAATTATTATTTTTAATTTTGATGATGTGTTTTTCATTTCTATCGGAAACAAACTCTCTATAAGGTAAGGTAGGGTAACATCTGCGTACATATGCTATAATAAAAATGGTTTTTAGTTGCACTAAATATGTCAATTAACAAAGAGTGTTGAAATATTTATCAGTATTTGTTATTGAATACAATGTTGTTATAGGCTCTGACGACATTTACAAAGAGTGCCAAAATGTAATTGTCACTCGCAACTGCCTCTAAAATAATCATTTTTTGCTAGTGACACTACGTTTCTCTGACCCACTCGTATGATTATACTGAATTTGTTGTTGTTGTTTTATTGTAAATTTAATGATGATCATTTTGTGTTAATGGGTGCAGAGTGACAGGTGAAAAAGATGTGCAATTTAAAGTTATTTGTGGAATTTGTCATTCTGATCTTCATCAACTCAAGAATGAATGGGGAAATAGCAAGTACCCCATGGTGCCTAGGTAAATTAGTTTGTTCTTTTATTTTTGGTTTAAAAAAATTCAGATCCAAAAATATTAACTAGAATTTTTACTAACAAGATTCAAAAATATTAAGGCACAAAGAAGCTAACAGGATTCAACATCCACTGTATATCATAAGTAGTTTTTCGGTGAAGAACATTTACTGGCTAGTTTTCCTTTTCTCTATATCTTTTCAATTTTTCACATTATATTTTGGATTTGAAAGCAATCCTGATTTGATTCTTAGTCTATAATTGGCCATTTTGAGCTCTTGATACCTCAGTAAATCCTAAGTTGTTGGGACATGTTACTCTCCCTCCGTCCTATTTTATAAGAGTTAGTTTGACTTGGCATGAATTTTAAGACAAAAAGAAAGACTTTTAAAACTTGTGGTTTTAAAACGAATGTAGAAATTTGTATGGCTATAAAGGGTAAAATGAACATTTTAAAGTTAAGTTGTTAGTTAATATAAAAATGTGTCATTTCTATTTGGGACGGACTAAAAAGGAAAGTAAGTCATATAAACTGGGACATAGGGAGTAAAAATTAGCGGAATTTGTGTAGAAAGGTTGGAAACAAAGTAGGTGCTGGATGTATGGTAGGATCATGTCGAAAATGTGAGAATTGTAGCGTTGATCTCAAGAATTACTGCCCTCGTCAGATTCCTACATACAACGGCTTTAGCTTAGATGGAACCCTCACGTTTGGAGGTTACTCCGACATGATGGTATCCGATGAGCATTTTGTAGTACGGTGGCCTGAAAACTTGTCGATGGACGCTACGCCCCTGTTATGTGCTGGAATTACTACTTATAGTCCTTTGAAATATTTTGGACTTGATAAGCCTGTAATGCACATTGGTATTGTTGGTCTTGGAGGGCTCGGACATAAGGCTGTTAAGTTTGCTAAGGCATTCGGAACCAAAGTGACTTGTCATTAGTACATCTGCTAATAAGAAGCAAAAAGAAATTGAGCGTTTGGGCGCAGATTCTTTCTTGATCAGTCGCAATCCTGAGCAGATGAAGGTGAATATAATAACTCGTTATCATTGAACTCTGTGATCATCTTATCTGAATGTTTAATCTGTTTGAGAGAGCATTTTTATTTAGTTGTATCTTCAACACACCTCTGCCTGTTCTTTTTCATGAGTAAAGCACATGATTTTTTTTATTTTTGTTGACAATGGTGGTGTTGAGGTTTTTGAACTCACGACCTCTGCTTGCTCTGGTTCCGTGTTGAAGTGTGTGACAATGTCATTTAAAAGCTTAATTAAGTTGTTATGCCAGTTTAACAATTTAAACACAAGAATGGGGGCTAACCTTTTGTTTATTCGTTTATTTATATACGAACAGGCTGCAATGAACACATTGGATGGGATTATCGACACTGTTTTGGCGGTGCACCCTATTCTTCCATTGCTTATGTTGATGAATTCTCATGGTAAGCTTGTTATGGTTGGTGCACCAGAAAAACCGGTGGAGTTGCCTGTGTTTCCTCTACTTATGGGTAAGCAAATGCAAGATTTCAAATAATAAAGTTCTAACTAAAGTATACATAATGTAATGTGGTCCTTCCTGGGACTCTGCGCATAGCAGAAGCTTAGTGCACCTGGGTGTCTTTTTTTAGACTAAAGTTTGTATGTATAATGTGGAAAACAGGAAGGAAGCTAGTGGCTGGAAGTTGCATAGGAGAGATGAAAGAGACTCAAGAAATGCTGGATTTCGCGGCAAAGCATAACATAACACCAGATATTGAAGTTGTGCCAATGGACTATGTGAACACAGCGTTGGAACGTCTTCTGAAATCGGATGTGAAATATCTTTTTGTGCTCGACATTGGCAATACATTGAACAAGAAATGAGGATAGGGAGGGGTTCAATTATATAGCAGTGTTTCTTTGCTAATTAGATTACATTAATTTCAGAGATGAATAATGAAATGTGTTTCTTGCACTTATTAAAATAGAATAAGAATGTAACATTTTACAGTAGATATCAACGGAGACTATGCAACTTCAGTATAACTTGATGGTTGGGGAGAAATTATTTGAGCTCCATTGGATTCCAAAGCTTCTGCAATTTATCTATTTGTCAGGAAATGGAAAATGTGATTATATTTATCCCTAGTGAAGTATAAAAAGAATGAATTTTTGCATACCCAAATTGTACGTACATGTTCCCTTCATAGGCAGTGTCCCCAAAACTCGCTGCTGATTACTGATACGTACATCACCTATTGCCAATAGAAGAAAGAATGAGAAGAAATAATTTATATATAAACAGAGAACACAATTTCATGAGTTATATACCTAACTATATTTAATCTATAATCCCGAGCTTGTGGGAAAGAGCCGCAAGAGTTTCTTAGAAGCAAGAGCAACTGGCCTCTTCTTCATCTCTGCTCTCAGATTCTCTTTATACAACAAACGAACTCCAAATTTCATCTTTTCTCCAAAATCTAATTTAATGCACCCATAGTCATTTGGTGTTTTTTCATTTGCATTAGATGCATCCCATAAGCCACCAAAAGGTACAAACAAAAAATTAAAATTACATTCATCAGAATATTCTGAATTGTTGGATAAGGCAAATTCTTGGGTCATCGACGACATCCCATCATCACATAAGGGAATCAAATGAGCTTTGGTGTAATTAATTAGTTCGCCAGAATAACATACAGCAAATCCCAAGAAGTTATCACTTACATACCAATTCTCAGGCAAATTGAATGATACACTTGGGCCCATTCCCTGATAGTCGAACCAACTTGGGATATGAAACATACAACTCCCAAACACTCTTAGTGACAAGGAATCTGAAGAAAAGATGTCATGCTGCAATGATGAGATATTCTGAAACACCGAATTACAAAATGAATCATTGCTCCAATCTGCATATATTGCATGTAATTTCTGTGGAAATTCTGGCAGCTGTGTAAGCTTCTCGCAATCTGATAATTCCAAGGTTTGAAGAACACCAAGTTGGGCTATGCTACGAGGCAAATGCGTAAAATTATTTCCACGGAGATCCAACTCTTTCAAAGAGGATAAACATCCAATGTCTTCTGGCAGCTGTGTAAGTCTCTTGCAATATGATAAGTCCAAGTATTCAAGAGCACGAAGTTTGGATATGCTTTGAGGCAAATGCTCAAAATTATTTCTATTGAGTTTCAACTTTTTCAAAGAGGATAAGGATCCAATGTCTTCTGGCAGCTGTGTAAGTCTCTCGCAATCTGATAATTCCAAGGTTTGAAGAACACCAAGTTGGGCTATGCTACGAGGCAAATGCGTAAAATTATTTCCACGGAGATCCAACTCTTTCAAAGAGGATAAACATCCAATGTCTTCTGGCAGCTGTGTAAGTCTCTTGCAATATGATAAGTCCAAGTATTCAAGAGCACGAAGTTTGGATATGCTTTGAGGCAAATGCTTAAAATTATTTCCACTGAGATGCAACTCTTTCAAAGAGGATAAACATCCAATGTCTTCTGGCAGCTGTGTAAGTCTCTTGCAATATGATAAGTCCAAGTATTCAAGAGCACGAAGTTTGGATATGCTTTGAGGCAAATGCTCAAAATTATTTCTATTGAGTTTCAACTCTTCCAAAGAGGATAAGGATCCAATGTCTTCTGGCAGCTGTGTAAGCCTCTTGCAACCTGATAAGTCCAAGTATTCAAGAGCACCAAGTTTGGATATGCTTTGAGGCAAATGCTCAAAATTATTTCCACTGAGATGCAACTCTTTCAAAGAGGATAAACATCCAATGTCTTCTGGCAGCTGTGTAAGCCTCTTGCAACCTGATAAGTCCAAGTATTCAAGAGCACCAAGTTTGGATATGCTTTGAGGCAAATGCTCAAAATTATTTCCACTGAGATGCAACTCTTTCAAAGAGGATAAACATCCAATGTCTTCTGGCAGCTGTGTAAGCCTCTTGCAACCTGATAAGTCCAAGTATTCAAGAGCACCAAGTTTGGATATGCTTTGAGGCAAATGCTCAAAATTATTTCTATTGAGTTTCAACTTTTTCAAAGAGGATAAGGATCCAATGTCTTCCGGAAGTCCTCCATCTATTATATTGCAGTAACTGAGATACAGAGATTCCAATGAGACTAACCCTTCATTCACCAGAGGGAACACAAAGTACACTCTATCTTCTGATTTTCTTTTTTGAAAACACAAACTTTTAAGCTTGTTCAACCGGACAATGGAAGACGGAGGACGTGAGATTAGAGTATAGCTGGCATCAAGCTCCTCCAAGTTTTCTAAATCACCTATCTCTTCTGGCAAGCTTTCAAGTTTTGACCAATTCGGCACATATAGCTCCACCAAGCCTTTCATCTTACAAATGCTGCTTGGAAGAGATACAAGGTTTTCCATGCCATCCAAATGTAGCTCTATAGGATGAGGTTGGTGATCAAAGAAATATAATGGCAGTTCCCTTATCCCAGAGTATGACGTGATAATCTTTATGGCAGTCATCCTTCCATGGATTTCAGGAAATTTCTGTAAACTAGAGCAGAAATATAGATTCAAGAATTCAAGAGATTCCACATTAACATATGGAAACCTCTCAAGCGTTTCACAATGAGACAAATTTAACTCAATGAGTTTTTTGCAATACTTCAGGGAATGATGAACTTCTTCAAGACTTTTACATTTATATAGATACAAATATTCCAAATTTGGCATCCCCTTGAAATCTGGTGTTCTCTTCAGGCTTTCAGAGCGACTCAGATCTATCCTTCGTAGAGACAGAAATTGTTGCAGCTATTCAAAACACAGAAAGAGTGATAGTAAATGAATTTAGCAATACAAAATTTATATAAAGTATTTTGGGATAAACATGCAATGCACGTTCCAGTCATCATCATCATCATCATTATATATTACTTTAAAAGCATGAACTCCTAACTTGAATGTTAAATTACTATAATATCCCTAACTTAGGTTGTGACTTTTTCGATGAGTTGTGACTATTCCGATAAGTTATGACTTCTTTCAAAGGGTTGTGATTTTTCCAAAGAGTGAAGTTTGTATTAGTTTAATTTTTATTATTTATTTATATATGTCACAAATGTATTATCAAGTTAACGAGATCTTCTAACTTCAAAATATATTATTTTAAAATGTTCCGAGTTCTTTTTTTAAACAAAAAAAAAAACTCACAACAAATTTGAAAATATGTGAATATATAAAATGTAGTTGTTCTCTTCACATGTTCATATGACATCTAAACAATTTAATGTAGAATACACATGCAAAGCACATCTGGTTAGATGACAAGAAAAATACAAAACAAATATTGTCTATAAGGTAATATTAGTGAGATAAGACTACTTAGATAAACTTCATCAAATTGAAATAAATATATACATAATTACATTTAACTAATAAAACTTTTCATTGACCATTTTCATAACTTTGCATGAATAAGAAATATATGTGACGATCCAAATTGAACATTCACAAAAGAATTTGTAATATTATTTTTTGCTAAGCTTATTATTCAAATCTTCGCTTAAATAAGCACTACTATTTACTATAACATATATTTTTGAAATTCGTAATCACGTGCAACGCACGTGTCAAAAAACTAGTATTACTATAAGTGGGAACAAAAAAAGTTAAAAGTTGAATTACGATTTTATCCCTATTATAAATTAAAATGTTATAAAAACATTTAATTATTTAATTTTAAATAGTATAATTTTAATTAAAATGTTAATGACTTTTGCACTTCCTTAAATTAACTCCTCATTAAAATATCTAATTTAATAATATTTATCATTTATAATCTATATGTATATTTAATTTAATCATCACATATATAAACAAAAAGAGTTAATGTTGAATTATGATTTTATCCCTACTATAAATTAAAATGTTATAAAAACATTTAATTATTTAATTTAAATATTAAATTGTATCATTTTAATAAAAATGTTAATGAATTTTTCACTTCCTTAGATTAATTCCTAATTAAAAAATCTAATCTAATAATATTTATCATCTATAATCTACATGTATATTTAATTTAATCATCATATCATATCATCATAATATATATATCCTTCATTATATTAAAAGGTATTAAATTATTTAATTAATTAAATAGTAAAAATAAAATTATAACATTCACCCAATGCTTAATGACATGTTTCAGGTTCAAAACAAAATTCTACATGTTTAGATAAACAAAACGTCAAAACATATCAAATTCTTCTATACATTAATTTAAAAACAATGAACATTTAAAGGAGACTACTTTTTAAATGTTGTCATACTAAATGTTAATAATAGCTAAAATAATGATAGGAAATAATAATTTCTCTCATTTTACAAGCTTTTCAAAATTAGTTTCTACATTTCCAGAATGATTATAAATAATTAAAAATAAATAATAGGTATATAATTTAATAAAATAATTACTCTAAAAACTTGCAGTAGCTTATGACTTTATATGATTTTCTATAGCACTAATATTATAATTTCAAAAATATAACATCTCGCAAATTGAAAGAACTAACAAAAGCTAGAATTAGAAAGAGTGATTTTTGGAAATAATAAAAATCTGGAAAAATGGTCAAGTTAAGTTTGAGTTTTTGGTCAACTTCAAACGACCATAACTTTTAGCTCAGAATGAGTTAGGTGTGCTTCCTGATATCGTAGGAAATATCTTGGAATAATCTTTCCAACGCCGTCGAGTTTGAGCAATTCCGAGTTCGTATGAGTGAGATATACCCATTGAAAGTTGGGTTGTTTGGATAAGGAAAGTCCAATCCGGATTTTAGAAGGACATTATGGTCTTTTCACCACTCAATTAATTAATTTCGTTTTTGGTAATTAAGTTGGAGTCTAAACTGATTGGATTCAGTTTACGCTTTTGAGAAACAAGTTAGGATTATGAGAGAAGAGAAAAGAAGCGGAGAAGGAGCAAGGAATCATCAAGTTCTTGAAACTAGGCTCGTGGATTTCGTCAAGGGGTGATCCCTTGAGGTATGTGAGTCCACACAGCGTTGGGTTCGTTCACCCACACGCCAAACATGTTTTATTCAGTGTAATTTTGTCCTAAAAAAGATTGAGAATTTGATGTTCATAAGTTGTATTCTTGAATTGCTTTTGTTCTTGAATTTGGGATGAGATTGAGGAGTTCTTGAGAGTTTAAGATCAATTATTAGAGTTGCTTTGAGTTAGATTCTTGTGTATATGTTGTGGGTACCTGAATTTAAAGAGATATGGAGAAAAAGAACCGAGTTTAGGCGAATTGGGGCTAGAAAATGAAGAAGGAACGAGTCGGCAGAATCTGGGTACCAGGTCCGCGTCGCGGACCTGTTCCTCAGATTTGGAAAATCCTTCCTCGTGTCGAAGAGCGGTCACGGACCGTTCTGCCCCAAAAATTATTTTCGCGACCAAAAATTTAAATACACCTTCGCATCGCGGACCAGTTTCCTCGCAGTGATTTCTTGATCTTTTCTCATGTTTAGCTATCTAAAATCACTCCTAAACATCATGAGATCTTCCCTATCACAAATCACAATCCTTGAATCTAATTCAATTCAAGGAAAGTTAAGAGTCAAGTTAAGAAAAGTTAAGATCCAAGTCAAGAGAAGTTAAGATCCAAGTCAAGAGAAGTTAAGAGTCAAGTCAAGAGAAGTTCTTAGAGTTTTCCAAAAGTCTTTCACAAACGTTTTAACTTTGTTTCAAGACTTGAGTTTTGTGTTGAGTAAAGAGTAAAGTTTGAAGTTCATTTCTTCAAAAGAATATATCGGGACTATGTATTCCCAAAGAGTAAACGTTTTTCACATTTAAAGAAGAAAGGAAACCTTGATTTTCAAAAGAGCCTTTGAGCTAGTTTTCAGTTAAAGAGTAAATGTTATCACATTTGAGCAACAAAGGAAACTTTGATTTCCAAAAAGAGCCTTTGAGCTAGTTTTCAGTAAAGAGTAAATGCTTTCACAATTAAGCAATAGAGGAAATTGAGATTTCTGAGATAGCCTTTGAGCTAAGTTTTGAGCAATTATCTCAAACCACAGAAAGAAGTTATGTTTTTAAACATAAAGAGCTAGTATAATTTAGGAGTAGTATTGAGCACCGATATGGGGGAGAGTTCAGAAAACTATGAGCCGCCATAAACCATGTAGCCATCATGGGTAGAAAAGGGTCATACTTTTTAGATAATTCCTTTAGTACTTTTTTAGCATAAAACTAGTGGATCCACTTAGTAGTTCAGGTTTTATACCCCAACAAGGTATAGGACGGCCTTGGCAGCGTGAGGCAAAACGTTGTATCATCACGATAGCTCTTAAGTGATGATTGTCGGTTAGAGAAACTCCCACAGCGATATTTTATATTTTTATATACATCAGAAATATTTGTATTTTCATATACAAACAGAGTTCATATTGTATCTTTGCATACATACATAGTTATTATTGTATTTCTTAATACACACAGTTGAAAACCATGTTTTAAAGTTGTTCTTTATACTGCTTTTATTTACACTGCTTTATATTGAAATCAGTTCAGTTCAGCTGAGTTGAGCCAGGTAAGTTCTTCAGTTCCTTTCAAGCTTATGACTTGTTTTAGAATTCCCCTCGCATACTCGTACATTCAATGTACTGATGCCAGTTGGCCTGCATCTTCTTATGATGCATGCAGACACATGTAACTAGGATCAGCATCCAACGCCTCGTTGATCCAGCTGAGCACTCAGAGTCAGTTGGTGAGCCTTCTAGCTTTCCGAATGATCCTTTTTATTGCTTTCAGTATTTTAGTTCATTTGGATGTTGTGGGTCTTGTCCCCACGTCCATCTCAGTTGTTTAGAGGCTTCATAGACAAAGTTAGTTGGTGTTAGTTCATGAGTCTTTACTTTCCCTTTTTAGTTAAGTTGAGACTTGAGTTTCCACTTTGGCAGTGAATGTTATTTATTACATTCTGAGTTATTATTGAGCAGTTCAGCTTATTCTTTTAAAGTATATTTATCTTGAGTAAAGTCTTTCACTGAGTAAGTAAGCCAGGCCAAAGGTTAGCTTGGGGCCAGCAATGGTTCTCGAGTGTCGGCCACGTCCAGGGTGTAGGCTCGGGGCGTGATAAAAAATACTTTAAAGAAATAAAAATAATTTCAGAAAGAGTCTTTTTCACTACCCAATTAACTACACATACGTACAATGTATGTTATTTATTTATGTCATTTATTAAATTAATAAATTATATTATCTTGAGTCGTAGTTATAAAAAATTTGTAGAAATCGAAGAGTTGGCTTTTCATTATTCAATACAGATTATTATATTTGTCAATTTCCTCCATATATCAGCTCACACTTTTGCATTACTCTTCTTTTACTCAACATACTTCCTTATTTATGTTTAGGTTAAATATATTCTACTGATTTTTTCTTCTCTTCCTCTTATTCAATTTTACATTTTTCTTTTCCAATTTATTTGATTACTATTTTTCCTAATTTTGTCTTTCCTTTTTAATAAAAGTTGTGTGCAATCCATATTATAATGCAAAAAGGAAAATTGACTTTATAGTGTTTTCAAAAATATAGATATAATTCTTTATATACATACTATTCAATGTTGGTGTATAGATTGAAAGTTTCTCAATTAATTGCAGGGATTATTGTGAGGTATGATTGATTAAACTCATTAGAAATACATATTCTTATTATGCTTATAGTTTGAAAGTTGAGAGTATCTGTTTTGATTTCTTATCTTATACATGTTTTTCAATTTATATTGCAATCAAAAGTTTTT